TCATGCAGCCGTATAGCAGTGCCTCCACTGCCTCCGCCTGGAGCAGGCGGGCTTTGAGGCGAAACGGTGCTCCCGGTCGGTCGAAGAGCTCCGTGGCGTATCGCTTAATGCACGCCCACGCTGCTTTGCTCCTGTGGTTGATCTCTCGGGTAAGGTCGCCCTGCTCGTTGACGAGGCCGCCCAGGTATCGGAACTCGGTCGTCTGTGCGTACCTTTGCCCCGCTGCTTCGATAGTCAGCACCGGCGGTGGCGGCGGCGGCGGTCGCTGTCTCTCCTTCACCCGCATCACCAGGGTCTATAGGGCCGTACAATACTTGTACTGCGGGTTTAGTACGGCTCTCGGTACTGTACTAAGCCCAACAGTCTAATACGTATAGTACAGATTTCAATACTGTTCTAAATGTACTAGTGCGCTTAGTACAGGTCTCCATACTGTACTGCTGTACTGGGGGTTAAGTACGGATTTTAGGCCGGTACTGTACTGGGCATAGTACAGTATTTGACCCACAATACTGTACTGCTGTACTGGGGGTTTAGTGCGGCTCTCCATACTGTACAAAGTGCAATATTATAGTGCGTTTAGTACAGCTCTCAATACTGCTGTACTGCTGTACTATGGGTTTAGTACGGCTCGCGGTGCTGTACTAGGCGCAATAGTGCGTTAAGTACAGCTCTCCATACGATACTCAAGGAATAGTTCGCGTACGCTACATACTACTCTTTACTAAGACGGAGGGACGGGGCGAGGGAGCATCGGGGGGGTGGATCCAGGCAGCGTGTACTATGTTTATGTGTGTGTTTATGTTCAACTGAGAGTGCTATTGCAGGTGCTTCATGCATATGCATATTTCAAGTACGGCTCTCGGTGCTGTACTAGGCGCAAGAGTACGTTTAGTAGGGCTCTCTCCATAGTACTCAACAAGCGCCATATACAGCTTTCCATACTGTACTCACAACAACAGTACGTTTGGTACAGGTCTCCATACTGTACTATACTGGGGGTTCAGTACGGCTCTCCATACTGTACTAAGCGCGATAGTACGTTTAGTACGGCTCTCCATACTGTACTAAGCGAAACAGCAGTACGTTTAGTACAGCTTTCAATACTGTACTCAAAACAAAAGTACGTTCAGTACAGCAGTATTCCATACTATACTGGGCTGAGTACAGTACTCAACCTTCCCATACTGTACTGGGACATTAGGACGGGTTTCGATACTGTACTAAGCATACTGGTACTGTACCAAAGGGAACCTTGCTACGCTTGGTTCCCAGTGACCTTATTTCGTTGTTCAATAAAGAGAATATCAATACGGTACTGCTGTAGTCAGCAACCTCTCAAAAACACTTGACAGCCTACAGCAGTGCCTGTATTTGACGGTACATGTCCGGCCGAACCCCTAGCCGATTCTCAAAGCATGATTGCTCCATTTCCAATAGGTTGGAAAGCTCTTTGTGAGATCTTCCCAACACCGCCCTCTGCTGCATCGGCACCTCCTCTCCTATGGAGCGATCGAGCTCTCATGCAAGTACTCGGCCCAAGCCGGTCTGATGTTCACCTTCAAGCACGGAAGATCGTGTCTAGGTCTTTCACTGGTATGCGTAGATACGTAAGTGGTTGGACAACTTCAATGGATGCGCATCTTTTTCAGCCAGTCGGTCCTCGCTTGTTGGCAAAAAACTTGCCGCAGGTATGTGTGTGTATTTGACCTGGCAACCGGGTTTAGACAGGAGGAAGGTCACACAGGACCTGTTGTTTCGTTTTCGTTTTTTATAATGCCCCAGCTTTCTTTTGCGGCGCTTGCCTTAGTTTTCATCGTAAGAAGGGTTCAGCCTTGCCTTTCCCTCGTCGACAGCGCAGTCAAGAAACCAAATTATTTCAACCGCAGGTTGCATTTTTTCTTCACACCAGAGAGAGAATCGAACTTCAACCTGCTACTAAATAGTTAAACCACGACCACCGGGGCTACGGTGTAGTAAAACTGGTCTGCTTCTAATGAAGTTCCGACCGAATATCTACCGCATGGTGTATGTTGGGACGCCCAACACAGGTGGTAAGGAACAAGTGTGCAAGGTACGTGGTCCCCCCCCCCGTATGTCTGTCCAATTGACTGTCGGGTCGAAGAATCAAAGGCGCGCACTTGCAGACGAGGGATAGTGGTGCACCGAACCAAAGCAAAGCAGGAAGCATGTTCCTCTCCGGGCTCAGCGTCAACATCGCGCTTGGAGCGAATCTATCGGTATCCTTCCACGTTTGCTTGCTCTGTTGAATCTCAGGCGGGCGAGCGATTGGTAACACTGGCTGGATCCCTGCGCCATCACAAGAAAGAGAAGACCTCGAAGTTCTTCTTGGATTCGTTAAGCATCTGCCGTGGAGATTTTGCGAAGGCTTTGCTTAATAAGGCCGGCAAGGTGCCGAACGTTACCGTCCATTTCGGATGTACGTTCTCAAAGGTCGACATGGTACAGAGGTGACTGAGGTGCCGCCCCAAACGAGAGAAAAAATGTTCGAGTTGAGCTTTGTCATTGGCATGCAATCAAACGCGCTATCCAAAGGTACATATTTTGTGCCCGCTTGGCAAGTGCATTGGCTAGAGAGTGGACCATGCGTGCAGAAAGAATCGCTGACGCACCACTTTTTGCCGCACACATACCGTTTGACACGCGTCAATCGTTTACCACCATCGCGAACAGGGTCGCCACGTTCGAACGTGGAAATGGTGACATCGTGGAAATAGAGTATGACATGCTCATTGGTGCGGATGGGGTCAACAGCCGCGTGCGGAAAGAACTTGAGGAAAACGTACCCGACTTCACCGTCCGGCAGCGCGAGGTCATGTCTTTGAGCTTTCCAAATACCTGTCTGTAGGTTAAAAATTGCAATTGATTTTTACGTCTTGTATTGGCACGTCGAGTTGCAATGCGGACGGTGGTCGTACGGTCACTTGATAGGTTCCGATTCAATAATTAGGCAGACATTTGGGCCATCGGTCTCGTACCATGTGCGGGTACTACTGGTGAAAGCACAGTTGTAAAAGCCCATCTCCAGCTGCATCCGCCAGAATCCACGGCATGCCATTCGTAATCCGCTCACCCTGACATGCGTATGCACAGGATCCCATGGCCTTCAAGACGATTTTAATTCCAATCATGAACATGGAGGGAGCAGACGAGGGTTGGAAGAAGCGCTTCCATGTGACCAACTCGGACATCGGGTGCATTATCGCCCCCCCGCGTTCAGGTACATGGAGTGGGTTGGCCGTTTACGATCAACCAAACGGTGCAAAGTCGCCGTAGTCGGCCTTCTCCGCGCTGGCTCCACACTGAATCAACTGGCATTCCCATTTTATTTTTCGTCTCGGTGCCTTTTTTTTGCAGACGGAATGCTTACTGCCACGGTGGTTCTACCTAGCGAAGGCAAGACTTCGTTCGATGCGCTCATGAAGACGACGCAAGACGTGCGTGACTTCTTCGGACACTACTACCCCAGCGCCTTCGGCCACGAAGGACCAAGTGAAGAGGTTGCTAAGGAGTTTCTCGAGCGACGGTGAGGATTGCACCGAGTGCGTCCACTATAATACTGCGTATGTGTATTGTGTACGAAGCGAATACAGTACAAGAACAATTTGGTTAGCTTGAAATCTAATATAATATCCTTGCTCATCATTGGTTGGGCACAACTCATTCGGCCGAACACGGGGTAGCAACTGCGTCGATCGGCTTCCCCTGTCCACCGTGTGCTTTTGTCCGGCATACGCCGCTTTACTGGAGCTCCCGGTCCCCTCTCATCAATGCGCAGAACTCAGCAGCTCCGGTCTACCTACTGCTCACGTTTGGCGCATGGAAGCATCGTCTTGATTGGCGACGCAGCGCACTCCATGTGGGCGTCTCTTGGCCAAGGAGTTAACGCAGCCTTGGGTGAGCAGCATCGACTTGGCGTTTTCGCCTCGGCAGCTTACCTCCACTTGTTCACGTTATATCGCGCACGAAGAGTGTGGTTCATTTCATTACTTCACACAGTATTTTTATTCCTTGGTCTGGTCATAACTTTTCGTTCTTTGGGAAGTCCTTTTGTGACGCAATTGTAACTACGGCATGTCCCTTTGCAAAACCTTTGGTACTTTTCGGACACATGAGCTTCGTCCCAGACCTGCAACCAGAGCTGCGGATTCGATTCCCCCCTCCGACCGTTTCTGTGGAAGCAATGGAATTTTCTGCGTGAACACCTAGTTTTTTATTCATATTTTTGTTCCCCAGACGGAGTCGGCACCCACGGCTCGCCCGGCTCTCCTCACTGCCAGGCATGGAGAGTGCGAAGACCGGCCGCGTGCCAAGGATTTGATTCATTGGTCCTTGACCGGCATTGCCTATCTCAATACAACGGCACGATATGCCCTAGCAGTGATCCAGCGTTATTGTTTGCATAGCAGTATGCCCCGCTGTTTGCGTGTGTCACGGCACAAGGCAGACGCTCCCCCTCTGCACCGGTCTCATCGACTTTCCTTCGATACCTCTTGCCAGAGGACTGCCAAGTCTTCGCTCAAGTCTTGGATTCCGCAACGGAGGGTACTGCGGCGGGACAAGCGGTCGACGTGCCCAAAGTCCTCGAGGCCTACAACGAGCGGAGGTTCGAGGATGCCGTAGCCGTGTGCGAACTGAGCGAAGAAGGGATGGGAGGTGCTAGGTCCATGCGGCCTGCTTTCGCAGCTCAGCTTCTCGTGACGGTTCTCCTCAACAAAACCCTTGGTCGTTTGGCTCCAAAGGTGAGCAATTCCTCCTCGCCATACTTTGTTGTAGGACACAGAAATGGCCACACCCAAGACTGTCGCTTGGCTTGACCCTTGCGGCTTTCTTGCTACCGCAGCCCAAGCACCTGTTGCGAAATATCGACAGGGAGTATTGCAACCTAATGTTCGTTGACGTGAACATTGCGGGGTTCACGTTCTTGTATCACGACGGAAGACCATGTCTTTTTGTTGCCTGCAATAGTTATTTTGTGCTTGCGCGCACTCTGCCTCACACAGATAGTTTAGTTCGTCACCCCATTCATCAATCGTCTCTCTTAGTTTCCACCTACCGTATGGGCTTTTTCTTACTGACAAGCTACAATTCGGGCTGGTTCACACAGGATCATTCCTTCGCCATGCATCCCTTTTACAGCACTGACTGATGGGTCAGTCAGCACTCTCTCCCCTAAGTGTGCTGGCGAACAAGCGCTTCGCGGAATCTGTGCAAGGCATGAAATGCAAGGAAACCGCTTCAGAAATGGGTGTTTGATTCGGCATCCCTTGGACGAGCGTGAAAACGAAGGACATGTAGACGGCTCCCATCCCGTGATCTGCAGTAGTGCTAGTTCTGTCGAGCAGATATACCTATCTCTGCTGGACAAACTTTGGCCCGCCTGGCAGGTCATTGCACAGAAAAAAACAGCACTGTTGATTTTTTTACGCTCTTGGGATGCATGGGGTCACTCCGCCTTTTGTCTCGGAGCACAGTTGCTATATTTATATTACGTATATATTCTTGGGCTGGACGATACTTAATCTGGTGTAGAGGTACTCACGCACGCATCGAAGCAAAAATCGCATTATTTGTCGCCAAAATTAACCGATTTTTCACTCAGACTTTTTTCTTTTGCAGCGCCTTGAACAGCAGTAGTTTCGCGTTTAGTCACTGAACTATTTCGGGAGCCTCAAACCTCACCCACACTATTCTGGATGGTGGAAGCCGATTTTTTCCCCCAGGTCACATCGGACAGTCTGCACTACGGGTTTACCAGTTTCTTGCGAGACGACGGGAGAGAGGACACCTGCTCACTCGGCTTTGTTGCTCGCGGGCCTCGTACTTGCTCATTTTACACCGTTTCCGTTGGTGTCCCCTCTTTTTTTCTGCCGTCATTCGTGGCATGGCGTGAATCCTCTCGACGAACAGGTTTTCACACCCCCCTCACTTATGGCCATCAGCGGGAACAAGATGTCGTACGGGGAAATATTGCGAGGAGTGAGGAGGGAGGCAACTATGACCAAAGCACTTTTCTTCGCAGGAGTTGTGTGTGCTGTAGCCGGGGTGGCACGAAAGGTCGTCATGAGGGGTTAGATCATTCAACTAACACAGCAGTAGTTGAGTGGAACATGACGCATATCTGCTTTTCAGAATAGGCCTAATCAAAACATTGCTTGTTGCGTTGATGCGGGGTCTATGATATTTTTTCCTTCTTGCAATATTTTCTACTCCGTGTACCCTTGCTCTCGTGTTGAATCCAGTTGAGCAAGTGCGTGCCCCACGAGCGAAGACGAAGTCTCGCGTTCTCCAAAGCATTTAAGCAGCACCAACTTTAAGGCGATTAAGCCACATCTTCACACAAGCATCCGGGAGAATGTTTGGATTTGGGGTACATGGTGGGCGACGTTGTATGCTCGTCCACATATTTTAGACACGCCCCCCCAGCTCCCGCCCTGAATGTTTCTTCCGCTTGGCCAAATAACTTAAATAGAGCGCCACCGCTGTGCGGCAGAGACTATTCTGGTTCTTGTCACGCCGCAATTGCTCAGATCAAGGTCTGACGTATATAGAATGGGGCTACAAAACAAACACCCATTACACACGCGCAAGGTCTTGCGGCGATGTCCTTCATGACAGGTTACCTGTTATTTTCAACGACAACAAAGTGTTCACTGCGTGTAACCTCTAAAAAGCCAAAAGACACTCAACACAGGTTACCATCTCATGTACTTGGCTAGGTGACCGGCCTCGAGACTTGAACTTCTTACAAAAAGTAAAACACGGTTTGACTAAACGTTCGTGCTGCAGCACTGATGAAAATGACAAGTCACCGAACCGCCATAAGGCACTGCTGCACACGCCTTCTTTCATTATGCCTCGCTGCTGTTGTCGCCTTCCCCGATAGGAGCGCGAAGCACGGATTCGATTCCGTCAGCGATGCCCGCCAGAACGTCGGAGTCGAAAGAGTCGAGTCCGTCACCCAATCCCATGACGATGCTCTTGGCGGCATCCTCGCGGGCCTTGCGCTCGTGCTCCATTCGCTGGTGGTACTTGGCAGCGGTCGCCTGGGAAAAGTTGGAGATTGATTGGGGCGTCACCGAAGACGAACGCAGATGGGAGTGTGGGACCGCAACAAGTACCCATAGAGGCGCCTCCAAGGGATCACACAACGTTCCAGTAATCCAAATTGTCATTGGGGTCGGCAGCCTGCAGCCTGGCCCTTTTCATCGGCACAATCAACATTGCCATTCATATATAATTGGTTCCGATCTTGCCTCTCATGGCGAACATGAGCCATACAGCAATGTCAACGCGTTTACTTGGTGATTCTCTTGGCAGACAGACCCCTCGCCCATCTTCCACCTACAGAGATAGACGACTGGGATGCACAAAATGCCCACATGAACAACAAGGCAACCAAAACCACACACCCTTGCACGCCGCGTCTCTCACCTCGGCCATGTCGTACACCTTCTGGGGGTTCTTGATCATGTCTCCAGGCTCGGGCTCCAAGGTCTTCGTGCTGAGTGCGATACGTCCGTTCACCTACGCAGCATAGAGGGGTGCAATAGTCAGTGTCTCAGTCACGCTTCAGAGCCTAGCCAACGTGCACACGATGCCAACTTAGACCAGATATGCTCGCCCTCGCAACTGCATTCTGCGGCGGTTGTGCTGCACTGTCAAGCCCTTTGCAAGGTGCAGCTTGCGCCCTTTCACGACGGGGGCGACGAGTCCTTTTTCCTTTTCGCCTCACCTTGTCGTGGTCGATGATCATGCACTTGAGCTTCATGCCCATCTGCATGATGGACGGGAGGTCTTCGATGCGGTCGAACGAGATCTGCGAGATGTGCAGCAGCCCAGACATGCCACGGATCTCCACGAAAGCTCCGTACGGCTTGATGGCCTTCACGTGACTGTTGCAGGAAGGAAAGACCAAGGGCAGGGAAAGAGAGGAATGTTTCCGTTTCCAAGACAGCAGTGGTGACAAAGACGAGATACGTACAAGAATGACGTCCGCGAGAGTGCGCGATTGTGCATGACCAACAAAGACGGTTGCCACGACGCTGCTGTTGTGATCGAAGGGAGAGCGGCCTCAGCCTCGAAGAAGGGGTAGACGCACGAAGATTATTGACAATCTTGGCCATTTCGCCGGCGGACTGCTTTCATGTCCAGAAAATGTCTCGAAAGATCAACCCAGGTAAACGGGCCGAGACTCGGGGCTTGAAAACTGTAACTTCCGATCGTCAGACAAACTTGGGCACATTTACAACAGAGAGGCGTTCTCTCATTGTGGCCATGTGATACTGTGATTCCTCACCCCTCCACGACGTCTCCGCGAGAGAGCTCCTTCATCTCCTGCTCCAGCACCGCACGGCGATTGGACACAACCAGCTTGCTGTTCTCCGCGTTGACCTTGCGGAACAAACGGCATTGCCCAAAGGCATCCAGGGAAGCGATGTAACATGTGACGATAAGCCCCCGCGCAGATCACCCAGGTCGCGTCCTTCCAAGTGAAAACAAGTACGCGTTCGCGAAGGCAAGGTAGGTAAAATCCTTCGCTCACCTCAAGGAACTTGTACTTCATGACCTTTCCAACCGCATCTTCGGTCGGGAGCCCACCGCACATGTGTGATCCGGGCAAGAAGCCGCGGAGCCCCTGTGGTGAGGGACGAAGAGCGGGCAAGAGAAAACAAGACATGAGGAGATGAAACGGCTGCGGCTGTGGTTCAATCCCTTCCTGTGCCGGTCGCACCTGCATTCCAACGCAATCGAGGTCCATGATTGCTCGAAGGCAAGCTGCTGTTGCGTAACCCATTGTGGAGCAGAAGCACTGACAATTCACTTCCTACACACCTCCACGAGAACGATGGCTCCGCCGCGGTTGACAGCGATGATCGGACCCTCGAATACCACGTCCTCAGCCTGCATATCTTCCACCTTCGACCACGCCTTCTCGTACTGGATTCGGCGGATAGAAACCTGAACCTGTTGCATACCAAGTACACGGAAGGGATATTTGCGGCGGGCAAGAAACACGAAACAAAACGGGGTGTCAACCGTTGAAACATTTCTGCTACTTTGTGGACCAGGGAATATTCAAGTCAACGTTGCCAGCGCAACAAAAACCTGTTGGCGCAAATACCGAAGTCATATGCATATACTTCTACGAGGTACAATTATATGAATGAGAAACGCGGGCAGATATGGCCAACACAACCCAACGAACATCGTGGCAACGCCGAGAGGACCATTGGATTGTTTCGGAAGGGACAAAACACAAAAATAATTTGCGCGTATCATAAGACATCAACTATTTTCTTTTGGTCGGACAAAGTTGCACAGCAGATTGAGTGATTGAAGTACCTGCCCCATTTCATTCTCGTCCGAGATGATCATCACGTCCATCGTCTCGTCCAGTTCCAGAAGCCCCTCCATCGACTCCACTTCATCCAGACTCGCCTTGAGATCATCACATCGGGGACAGAGACAATATCACCGAATCGGTGACATCAAAGGAATACTCGAAAGAGTTATATTTTCCCGCATCACGTACCGTGCACGTGTAGTATTAAGCATTAGTTCTTGGTTAGACCGCAAGGAGGGGAGGGAATGCCAACCCTTCTCACGTCAAAATAAAAGTTGAAGGAATGCACACAGACAAACATTTATTTGACGCTGGATTGGGCTCCATAGCCACATAGCCACGGGGGCAAAACCATAAGGTAGGTACGCAGGGCTGCGAACAGGTTCTGCATCATTGGTGCCGTGTTAAACGCAGTGTTCATGGCAATGTAAAGTACATGGACGAAAAAAACAGTCAAGGCAGACAGGGCTACACCGCCAAACCGTGGCTCCATATGCACAGGAGAATGGCAGTCAACGTGATATACACTTCGCGCGTTCATTTGCCCTCACGTAGTAAAGGCACCCGAAAACACATGGTGAATGACTAAAGATAACAAGCAGTGAGGTAAGATGAATTAAGATTTCGTAGGTACTTGTACAGTACCTGTCCACCACTGCTGTTGTGAACTGTTTGCCAACTCGAAGTGCTGCCGACGTTATGTCAAACAGCGATGTGTGGTCTCTCCGATGGGGACAGAAGGAATATCATCATTTTGCAGGAAGGATTACCTCGCGCGCCGGCATATATGCTGTTGCCTTCGCCCCGATGTCAATCAGAGCCCCCGATGGTTCGAATTGGATAACGGTTCCTTTGACGATTTCTCCTCTCTCAAAGCTGACCTGTGCAAATGTCAACAGGTCATTCATGTTACGAAGTTCCAGGCATTTTTAGAAACGGTGGAGACGCTCTCTCTTTCCCCAGCATTGCGCAAGCGCTCCAAGGTAGCTTGATTCCTCGAAACGCTCGTGGAAGAGGAAAGGTGTGAGCCACTATTCAGTTGGTAGGCAAGAAGAGAGCACCACATGCATAACACGCGGATTCGTTTTGCTGGGTCACATCTACATAAACGCCCTGGTTTGTAGAGAATGTGGCACAGATTAATTACCCCTCTTAGACGAACAATAATACGGCAGGCACAGACACACAGTTTTTGCCCTCGAAGAATTACTGCTGTGGTCGCAGCGACAATTGCAATGTAACATGTGCGACTGCAATACAGTGCTTTACCTCTGAAGCGGTCATGTCTCGACTGCAGAGCTTCGTGCTCAACATTCTCACGTCCCTCTAGCTAATGTGCGCTTGGTTCGGACGGATTTGTATGCATACCAATATGGGGGCAAATATGGGGCGTGGCGTACATGTGTGGCGACGACGATGAATATTTCAGCAACGAGCCGAACATCGAGCTTGCTTTCTCTCTCTCTCTCTCTCTCACCTTGTTGTCTGTGAGAAGCGTCTGGAAGTCTTCGTATGCTGCTGTCTCCTCCGACAGATCTAAGGCGGTCGTCACACCCTTGTACTGCGCCTTAATCTTGTCGAACCGGCTGGGAGGCTCCACATAAGGCACGTCCCCATTCAAGTCACCCTCCGTTTCCGTCCCAACCACCTCATCCACCTCCGTCATCACCCGGCATGGCGCCACCCGCGACCGTACAGATTGTGCATCTCCAACCCATGACGCAACAGGTCGGACGTTCCCCGCGCATCGCACGGACGGTGCGAATGCGAAGCCGTTGGCGACTGATGCCGACGCCGCCAGGGCAGCGATAACCCTTCATGCGTCACAGGAGCACGAAACACGTGGGAGCGCAAGTTCAAGGGACATGATGCGTTAATGGATCATAAGCCTGGGCAATAGCAGAAGAAAGGGGCAGTACCGCTGACACCAAACACGACGCAGCACGATTGTGCGAGCCAGTCCTCCCGGCGCTGCGCAAGTGCAGTAACTCTCATGGGCTTGTGCTCTGGGTGTGCGGTCATGCCGCTCCTCTTCAACACCACCCCTAACTCGAGACCGACTGCCTTTACCCGCGGGTAATTTCGTCCCTCATCCCGAAAGCAAGGTGACACAACCCACACTACACGCACCTCACTCCATCCATCCTTCTGTGATATTCACGCTTGCCGTGTCGTTTCTGTCGAGTACAGACAGCGAGAGAGGCGACAACGAGGAGACAAGACCTCGTCATGAGAAATGGGGAAAAATTGAAAGCGGGGACAGGGGTAAAATGTCCCCTACCCCCTCTGTCTGAGTTTTTTCCGGACGCGTGCAGGTATGGTGTCATATAATTGAGTAGTGTTTGCTCCGTTTATGTAACATTCCGTTCGCTGCCGTTGCCATTGGGAATTGCTGCGGGCATGAAGGCATATCGTTTCCCGGAAGGGTTTAATTGGGGTACTGCTACTGCGGCTTACCAGATCGAGGGCGGAAAGGGTGGTGAGATGTGTTCCATTTGTTTAATGAACACGGTGCTGCTGGTACTGCTGCCGCCCTAGGAAGTAAAGTTTACCCGCCTGAGAACACGTTTAACTCTGGTCGCTGCTCTACGGATGCCGACCACGGTTTGGTATCATTGCTACACGCATAGTGTCCCGGACTCTTATCTATTGGTGGATTCGTCGTGCTCTCGTAGGAAAAAAAAATAAACTGCATTCTTGTAGACTGCGCCAGCGCCAGCGCGCGGAGGAAGCAGAGACGGAGAGTACGGCCGCCCCGGGCCCGAAGAGAAAGAGAATCGGGGAAGCGGCGGGGGGG